TGACACATTATTCCGCATAAAATATCCCGAACTCATTCCTTTGCAAAATCCGAGAGCCACCCCCGTTCCCTTCCTTCTTCTTTTTCTCTTTTTCTTTCCCTCCCTGCTCATCTATATTTCAGTAGAACATGTATTCCATTTCACTCGGTGCTACTCGCTGTTCGACTGTCATTCGACCCCCATTGTTGGCTTTAGGGCCCAGTGTGTTTCTAAAAAGTTAAAAAAATAGCTTGTCGCACTCACAGGACGGGTAACATAAATACATATCATTCCTTGGCGTAGCATAACGTACAACAATTTTCTCAAACCATCTGTTTCTATCTCTCTCACCTCTCTCTCAGTCTCTGTCTCTCTCTCTCTCTCTGACTCTCTCTATCTCTCTCTCCCTCCCCTCTCTCTCTCTCTCTCTCTCTCTCTCTCCTTCTCTCTCCCTCTATTCCCTCTCTTCAGGGTCAAAGAAGTTAACCTACCGTAAACGTGGATTATGTAGTAGGAAAATGTATATCATAGGGTAACCTGCGATGCGTAGTGCACCGTACCGATGATAGCGTAGTGCACTGTAGTGTAGCGTACTGAGGACAATCGTATCTCGGCGTAGACAATTCGAGTGTAGCTAGCTTTTTCGAATTTTAGAAGAACCCTAAGAATTTGACCTTCAAGCTCCCTTAGTATTTCAAGGAATGTTCTCCTCGTGCCTCTATTTACCCACAAGTTCGTCGGCCATTTCTGGGCACTCGGCAAAGCCCAATTAGGGCCCTCACCCTCCCGGGAATTCGTCGCGCCCCCCGTTAGCGACTTATTTTTGTGGCCCCTGCACCCATTTTTAACCCTTTTTTCGTGGACATTTGATTTGTCGTTACCTTCTAGTCAATTGTTGCTCAAAATTTTGGCAAAAATTCCCAAATCTCAGCCTGAATTTCCCCTGGGCATCAGCAAAAAGTGCAACTTATCCGTTGCTGCTCTCCATACTTGCCTAGTTGCTCCTCTGCAAAGGGTCTATAGATGGGACGGAATCAAGGCAATTTAGTGCTCTCCTCCTCCTCCTCCTAGCAGTCGCCGGCCCGCACCTCTAATTGATCAGTGCTGGTCGGGGTCCCCCTGGCCGTTTTTTGATCTCCTAACCGCCGGCTGAACGGCTACGGAATAGAACAAAACACGGGGCGGCCAGCCTGGGCAGCTGATTTTTTGTGTGGGGCGTGTAGAATTTAATTTTGTGCTGTTTGTTGCAGATTTTTGCGGCCGAGTCGCCGGTTTTACACTTTTTTTGGGCTGTGAAATATTTTAAAGGAGCTGGGAAGTGCGAATTTTGAAGAATTCCGTTAATTGGTTTTGGAGAGCTACGCGTAGCACAAAATGGCGTTAAATAGCGCCAAAAATTTTGGAAATTTTTCTTGGGGCTGCGGCTAGATGTCTAGACCTAGTTGAAGGCCTAGGTCGATTCTGGCCCCGCAGATTCGGTTTAAAGGGACAGGTAAGCGTGGATATGGGGGTTTTATCGGGTAAATCTCTATGGATTTTTCCGCGACACGCGACGCGCACGTCTTCATGACCGTCTAATTGATTACGCTATCAAAAGCTTTGTCCAACACACCCCAAAAAACGCCCCGCCATTTACCCACAACGGAACGTTGCGGAACTCTGATCTCTAGGAAATTTTTGACGGACTGGGACCTTAAAATCTGGCGTTTTTCGGGGGGTTTTCCCCGAGAAGCTGCATTGTCTAATCCAGCGCTTCTCGATGGGGTGAATCCCCCAAGGAATGTTGGCCGCTCCCAAACACCGGTTGACAATGATAGACATGACAGCAAAAGGGGAAGCCCCTTCTGGATTCATCAGACTCTCCAGCAACGACAGACGGATCAGGAAAGAACCGGGGGGCGGGACGTTGCGGCTTATCTTCTCACACCGGAGGCGCGCACCCTCCAACTGCAGCAAGTTTTTGAACTTTGCAAAGTCCAACGAATTCGAGCAGTTCAAGGATGCGGAAGAATTCGAGCAGTTCAGATGGTCATTTGGAAATTGCCGAAATTTTATATGCCCGCATTTTTTGCATAGAACCTCGGGGATTTTCCGCGAGATTTTTTATAGGAAAATCTGACATATTGAAATTTCGGCATTATGAAACCTCTATTTCTCTGTCGCTCTCTGTCGCTCTCTCTCTCTCTATCTCTATCTCTCGCTCGCTCACTCGCCTCTCCCTCTTTCTCTCTATATCTCACTATCGCTCTCTATCTCTCGCTCTCTCACTCTCTCTCCCTTTCTCTCTTTCTCTCTCTCCCCCTCTCTCTCTTTCTCTCTTTCTCTCTCCCGCTTTCTCACTCTCTCTCCCATCCTCAACCATTAGTGCGCTGTCCCACACCATCCCATTCCCTTTATAAAACCCCTGTACCCTAGTGGCCATTTCAACTGGCCAGATCCCGATGGCCACCTATCTTTTTTGGGCCCTCATGGAGACGAGGGGGGGAACTGCTGCTCCTGTAAATTGGGTTGGGGGGATGGCGGGGGCTCCAGGAGGTGATGAAGGGCAGGAGAATGCATCTTTCTATCTATCCTTTTTGGCTTTTATACATCTTCTGCCTCTCTTTCTCCTATTCCACCCTCATCGCCTAGACAGCCCGCGCTGTGCACATATTTATCTTCCTCATCACCACTTTGATCTGTCACAATAGGGCCAATTCTAAGCTAAGCCCAAGCTAAGCCAAATCTAAGCCTAAGGCTAAGCTAAGTTAAGCCTAAGTTAGGTTAAGCCTAAGCTAAGCCTACTCCTACGCAAGTCGACAGCACCTAAAGCCCCCACCATACCCACCGGGGCTCATTTTCACTTCCGCATCCCTTTAAGCCCACCAAAAATTTTTAGGCGCAGCACACCGTAAGCCACCTTCCTGCCAATTTCCAATTAAACTACATGTTTTTGATCCCGGCGCAGAAGTCATCCCATTTGGGGGCAAATAGCTAATCCCCCTTACCTCGAGGCGCCCCTCTGACCTCCCCCCACCAAATTATCCAAGGCTCTCTTGATCAGAAAGAATTCTAGAACACTTTGTTTAGCTTCCGAAACACAGAATTCTTATTGTCGAGCAAAAGCAAAAAGTTTGTCTTGGCCAGGAATTGAACCCTGGTCGTGCACCTGATAGGACAAGCGCACTACCACTTGGCCAAGTCGTCAGAAAAATTTTTTTTTTGTTTAAAAAAAATAAATATAAAATAGTTGTTTTTTTATTTTTTGAAGGGGGGGGTGGTTTTTTTTTTTTTTATAAAATTTATTGTATTAAAAAATAATTTTTTAAATATAGATAAATTTTTTTTTTCTTTTTTTGTATAATTTGATTATATTCATGTTATTATTTTTCTTATTATTATTATTCTATTAGTATTGATATCTATTCTATTAATTCTACAATTTTTTTTGCAGAGAACACTTATGTGAAGATGAGATAAACCCGTGACGACGACGCCAAAATGGACAACTTTTCCTCGGCAAGCACCGAAGCCCCGATGAGCCCCACCTCGGCCGACCCGTGCAATTATACGCCGCAAATATTTTTGGTGAGCTTTGTGTGGGGTTTAGGCTTGGCTTGGGCTGAGTCTTAGGTTAGGCTTGGCTGAAGCTTGGCTTAAGATTAGGCTTGGCTTCGGCTTCGGCTTAGGCTTAGGCTTGGCTTAGGCTTCGGCTTAGCCTTGGCTTAAGCTTGGCTTAGGCTTAGTCTTAGGCTTGGCCTCGGCTTCGGCTTCGGCTTAGGCAGGGCTTAGGCTCAGGCTTAGGCTTGGCCTAGGCTAAGGCTTAGGCTTAGGCTTAGGATTAGGCTTAGGCTTGGCTTAGGCTTGGCTGAAGCTTGGGTTAGGCTTCGGCCTAGCTTGGCATAGGCTACGGCTACGGCTCAGGCTTGGATTAGGCTTCGGCTTGGCTCAGGCTTAGCCTTCGGCTTAGGCTTAGGCTTGGATTAGGCTTAGGCGCAGGCTTAGGCTTGGCACAGACTTAGGCTTAGGATTATGCTTCTGCTTAGGCTTAGGCTTAGCTTCAGTTCCACTTCAAAGCCCTTTTCCCCCTTTAAAACCGAATTTTCAGCTGTGGAAGATGTGGTTCGTGGGGGTTGTCGGCTGCACGACGGCCGTCGTATCGATTTTCCACAATTGCATCCTGTTCTACACCTTTAACTCGTCGAAGGTATCTTACACGCAGCAATCAGAAAAAAAACACGGAATACCGCAAAGTCCAAATTTTTTGAAAATTGATAAAACTCGAAAAACTTTGCAGTATTCGTTGGTGTTTTTTGGGGGGCCCAGGAATGCTGTATTTCGACTGCTTGTAGCCTGATAACTAACCTGATTGATGTCCATTAACATACGCTAACCCTAGCTGCTCGACGTGTAAATTAACAACACTGTTTTGTAGGGTATTCGTCACGTCTCGAATCATCTTTATAACCCAATTAATTCTTGTTTAATAGTTGTCTATGCAAATTACAATTTTAAAAATTTTTTAGGCCTTGAGATTAATTGGCAAATAATAATCGCTGTTTTTCATGCTATTTTACAGCGGTTCAGCAACTTTGGAGCTTGTTCGTTGGCGGGGTTGAGCAGGGAAAACTAGCTTTATGCAAATAATCCAGTAACCGCTCTATAATGGACAATTTTCCAGTAGCGTTTTGCTCGTCTTCTAGAGATATTTGGGATCTGGTGCGTTAGCGGGGGGTGGGATTTTAACGGGGAGAAATTTACTTTTTTTAATGTCGCCTTAGTGCCCAATAATGAAAATTTTGAATAGAATTTTTGTTCAATTTTTAGCTATGAAAGGCCCAGAAAATTATTCATATTTCCAAAAAAATCAAAATTTTCGTAAAAAAATCCATTTTTTAGTTAAAAATTTGTGATTTTCCACTTCCTATAAATTTATGCTAATTCACGCTAACTTCCTCCCAATAACCCGATCGAAATCTACCAGCGCAGCCCCCGATTAACAGCATGACCGTGTCGAGCATGTGCCCCATCTGCATGTATAGATGCTGCACCGGCAACGCATGCGACGGACGTCTTTCGCCTTCTCTTGCCTTGAGCCCCGGGTGCCGCCACGGCTTCTCCTCGAGTATTTGCAGCTGCTCCGCCGCCGAAACCTCACCTATCTGATGTGGATCTCGCTGTGCGACATCTTCGTCTCTCTCTCCTATATTGCCATCATGTGTGTACAGGTGAGGGGGACAATTCAAAATGCCGACAGATTTCGATAGTTAAAATTCAACTGCGAATGGTTCCAAAAATGCCGACAGTAGAAAAACACCGAAATACCGACAGATTGCGATAGTTAAAATTCAACCGCGAAATGAAAATGTAAAAAATGCCTATGGTCAACGGACTGGCTTAAGTACACACTAAAAATACCGACAAAATTTTCACATAAATTCGCACAAGCATGAAATCCCTGGTCTCAAAAGCCAAAATACCGACAATAGGCCGTCCGAAAGGCCGGCAATAAAAATGCCGAAAAAATGACGAAAGACATCGATAGCTAAATACCGATAGAAGTGCTGGCAGCCACCTCAGAACTTCAAATTCGATAAGAACGGTACGCTACCAAACAAACTAGCGACAGAAAAACGTCAAAGCAAGCACATACAGGGTGTCCCAAAAAAAACGACCCATCTGGCATTTCGCCGGGTTACATCCAATCGGCCCCAAATTTGGACCAGGGGTGTATCGGACCCTAAATAACAACAATCCTGACTTATAGCCCTGTAGCTAGAGTAGTTCTCGAGTTATATCGAAAACAAACTTTATTTTCCATTTTTCATAGGGTTTTCGTGGAATTAGACCCCCTAAACATTAAGTGAAAATGATCCGGTAGGCCTTCTTTACCCTAAGAAATTTTTTCCAGAGTAAAATTGATTAAATAAACTTTGATTTAAGCGATTGTTAGAACGCAAAATTACCCAAGTTCTTAAGCGAAATTAGGGATTCACAGCCGGAAGTCGATGCAAATCGATGCAAAGTCCAAAAAGATAGCCGAAAAAACTGTTCAGAATTCCCGGAAAAACAGTATTTTCGTTATAACTCGAGAACCACGAAAGCTACAGGGCTATAAGTCAGGATTGTTGTTATTTAGGGTCCGATACACCCCTGGTCCAAATTTGGGACCGATTGGATGTAACACGGCGAAATGCCAGATGGGTCGTTTTTTTTGGGACACCCTGTATAGCGATCGCGAAAATGTCGACAGAAAAACCGCCAAATAATGCCGATAGGTAGCAAAATTAAAATCCGGACACATATTGCTTGCCGCTACTTATCTGATTTCAAAGTCACCATTACAATATCAGCAAACAAAATAGCAAAAATACCGACAACAAAAACTCCGACAGCTCTCCTCCACCCACAACCGCCATGCAAACACCACAGTTTGAGAAATAACGACAGTAAAGGTCCAAAAATATGGAATCGACAGCTAAAATCCCAAAAAGTTGTCGGCATTTTTGATTACGGTGTTTTGTTGTTGAAACAAGATGAGTGGAAATCCATTAGACAATGGCGTACGAAAATTCTTCAAATCTTTCTCCTTAGGTGTACGCCGACTATTTTGAGTCGTGGCCCCTGTTCGTCGCCTGGCACAACTACCTCCTCTACGCGTTCACCATCTCCGGAATCACTTTTTGCTGGTCGTCGTTTCTCCTGATGGCGGCCACCATCGAGCGATACCTGCAGAGTACCGGCAATTCAAAGTAGGTTGTATGAGCAAGATGCGGCTGTGGATTCTGCCGCGCTGGATAGCTATTTTCATAGCGTAATGGATTAAGGTATTCAAACGAAAATTAGAAGCGGTTTAGAAGAGAATCCTTAGATTTGCCTTCCAGGTACTTTTAAAGGAACCACAGGAATCAGGTATTTTGAGCAAAATGTCGAAATTCATAATGTCGAACCACAAACTGTCGAAACGAAGAGCGTCGAAAGGCTATAATGCCGAAATTTCAATACGTCAAGCTTACCCCGAAAAATCGCGAAAATCGCGAAATTTTTACGTTTCGACATCCGGCATTTTCGAAATTTTAATTTTTAAATTTTTAAAATCACTATCGGATAAATAGTTATGGAATAACTCGGCATTTTGCCGAGAATGCCGGATATGCCGGAAAAAGAGACGGCTGGCTTCACGTTTCCTTTAAAAGGATAACATTCGGCTCCTCTCATGTCAGTGAAAAAACTCTAAAATTGACCCGTGTCGACGCCTTTACAACAAAATATCGAAAAAGCCCGAAATTTGCCCCGTATCCTCGCGTACTTTTTGGCCGTCTGTACCCCTATCGCTAAATGGCTGATTGGATCCGTTTTTTAATGTCCAAATCGTGTTACCGGCATGCCAAAATACATCCATCGATCCGTTGATTGTTTTCAGAGACGAGGAGAACCCGGAGGAGTTAGATAATCCTGTGTGAGTAACAGAGAAGCTTCTTTTATACTAACAATCTATACGCTAGACTAATCTTTTTGGCTTGCTTTTCTTCCGTCCCTGCTTGTCACTGTCCCTTTAGAGTTTAAACAAGATCGATAACCCCTCAAGCATGCTAAATGTTTTTCTTGAATGTCGGTCGTATAACAGGGCTGCGGCTTGGCTTAGGCTTAGGCTTGGCTTGGTCTAGCAGGCCTAGACTTCAGCTTGGTTTAAGCCAAGCCAAGCCCACGCCAAGTTTAAGCCTGGCTTGGGCTTGGCTTGGGCGTAGCCTCAGCTTAGGTTAGGCTTAGGCTCGAGCTTATACTTAAGCTGGTGCTTGGGACTTAGGAGTTAAGACTTAGGCATTGCTTCCTTGGCTTGAGCTCTGCTTGGCTTGGGTTTTGCTCAGGCCCAGGCTTGGGCGTGGGCTTGACTTAGGCCGAGGCTTGGCCTGGTTTAAACTCAAGCTTAGGCTTAGCTAGTGCTTGGGTCAATTTTAAGTCTGGCTTGGTGGTGGGGGGGTTTTCCTGGGGTTTGGGTTGGGGGGGCGGGGGGGGCCTGGCTTAGGTTTGGCTTAGGCTTAGCTTAGCTCACGCTTGGCTTGATTTAAACTCGAGCCTAGACTTGCTGAGGCTTAGGCATGGCGTGGGCATGGCTTAGGCTTAGGCTTCATCGAAGTTCACGTCCTGCAACTTTTCACAAACCCCTGGAAACTTGCCAAACTGTCAAAACCCGGCTTAAACCGAACAGTTCACTTCCGAAAACTATCATTTCCGCATTTCCATCCCCGTTCCCTCTCCCCTTTTCGAGTTCCATTATTTCGATTCATCTATTAGTGGTGGTGGTTAGTTGTTGTTCAACCCAATCCCAAACGAATCCCTTCCATTTCCAGATCAACAGCTGTATTCCATTTCCTCTCCAACCATCGAGGACTCGTCGTTTTTCTTTGTATGTGCTTCGGCATCGTCTTCAGAGGCACCGTATACCTCGAGATAAATGTGGGCGATTTTTGAGTCACGTCCAAATAACCGATATTTTTAGATCGAATACAACACGAATTGCTCGGGGTTTGCCGCGTATTCAGTATATGCGATTCCGCTAACGGATTACCCGGACTTTGACATGCTGTGGAAATTTTGGATTCGAAAGATTGCCACGGTGTTCTTGCCATTCGTTGGTGAGTTTTTTGGCGAATTTCGCAGAGCTTGACTCACTCAGACGTATCCTTAGGCTTAGATTTAGGCTGATTGTTAAGCTTAGGCCTGGACTTAGGCTTGGGCTTAAGTCATTAGCTAATAGCCTTTAGCTTGGGCCTTTGCTTCGGCTTAGGCTTACGCATAGGCTCCTGCATAGAAGCACACTTAGACTTCTGCTTGGGCTTGGGTTTGAGGCTTAGGCTTATGCTAGGCTTAGGCTTACGCTTAGGCACGGGCTTAGGTAGGCCTAGACTTGGGCTTGGGCTCTTGCTTAGGCTTAAGATCTTAGGATTAGCTTTGTCCTAGGCTTGTGCTTAGACCCGGGCTTTAGCTTAGGCTTCGGCATGGCATTAGCCTGAAGTTTTTTCGGCACCTTTTTCGGAGGACAGGCTAGCAGAGATTACCTAGGATTCATACCCCAATTTAGTCCTCGCCTACTTCAACGCGGCCATCGTGATGAACGTGAGGAGAACGGATCGAGATCAAACGGTGAAGACGCTCATCCTCTACGTCACCGTCGGCAGCAAGTATGTCGGCTTTGAAGGGGTGTGGACACCAATAGGCAAAGAGAACTAGATCGAGCGAAAAACACCCAAAACCCCCAATAAACTCCAAATTTCCAGAGGGGAAGTGGCCCGGCTACGATCCAGGCTACGCACCGTCACCCGGATGCTTGTCATCGTCGTTTGTACATATTTGTTTTCGAATATTCTGGACGTCATTATCGCCGGGATGGAAAATATCAGTCCGGGTAGGGATTTTTATTTTTCAGTGCGTTTAAAGGGAGTATGCTTAGGTGTAAGGAGTGATCTCAAGTATTTAGCGGGTTGAAAGATTTTTACAAGAGTATCGTAGCCTGCAAAATGCAGATTCCACATGCGGTATTCCAGGGATTCTCGTGCGAAACGCTGAGGCGTATGCCGTCACTTCCGATATATCCTCGTTCCTGCCGATTCTGGCGTGCGCGATGCGGTTACCGATTTATACAGCCAGCGATCGAGAGATTAGGATGGAGGTGAGAGTTAGAGAGAGAGTGAGAGAGAGCGGGAGAGAGGGTTAGAGACTGGGAGAGCGAAAGAGAGCAGGATCAGGATATCATTTTCCTGTTCAGGTAGTGACAACGCTCCAACTGCTTGGCCGTCGACTTTTCGGCCTTTTGCCTTGTTGTCGTCCGGTATTCCGAAGAGATAAATGGGGAGCACCACCCGAGCCACCGGGAGAGACGTACTATATGCCAAAAAAGATCTCGATGAGGGAAGCCACCCGAGGGTATGTGATGTAGCCTTTGACGAAAGAGTGTATTGGGTCCAGGAAAGAGCCAGAGAGAGAGGGAGAGAGACGGAGAGAGCGAGAGAGAGAGAAAGAGAGAGAGAGAGCGCGAGATGGAGAGATAGAGAGAAAGAGAGAGAGCGAGAGAAACAGAGATATAGAGAGAGATAAAGAGGGACAGAGAGAGAGAGAAAGAGCGAGAGATAGAGAGAGAGTGAGAGAGAGAGAGTAAGTGTGAAAGAGAGACCAATAAAAAGTGAGTGGGAGAGATATAGTGAATGCGCAAGTGAGAAATAGGGATCCTAAAGAGTCCCGGCTCGCTTTATACCTCCATTTCCGTATTTTCACGGCGATCCTTTCGCAAAGAATCTGGCCGATAAATTTCCTCAAAAATCTCGGCTGGCATGCCTGGGTGAAAGGCGCAGCGCGAGAAAAATACCACCAATTTTAGTCGCGGAATGTCAGCCCTAATCATGGCTCGTGCTCAGCTGGTCACCCGCAGTCTCAGCACCGACAGCACCGACTCCATCTGTATCGTCTGAACGGCCGGAAGTGGTCTCCGGGATTTCTCAAACAATTTTTGGGGTATTTTTGATTCGACAAATATTTTGGGTGTCCTTGCGATCTGTTTAAACTGTCGAAAATCAGAATGTAGTTAACGACGATTTTTTACAGGTATTGAAATGTCAAAAATGAATTTCAACAAAGTGAAATCCGAAAAAACCATTTCGAAAAAATGTATTTTAACAAAATAAATCCCGACAAGCCAAATTTCGACAAAACGAATTTCCGAAATCGATGTCGACATTCTAATTTTCGACACTCTAATAGCCATTAGCTTTTCCCCAACAATATTCCTATCAGATTTGCTATACATTTTCTGCTATCAATGGGCAAGAAAATGACATGACCAGGATGGTACAGTACCCGTACCATATCCCTCCCACATCATTTGCTAAATATTGCCCCCCCCCCCCGCGGTGGATTCGAGTGCCTTTGCCCCCTTTCTCGCGATCTTGATTAATGTTCCTTCCAACTGGTATGGGTGTATTTTTGTATATCTCACGTGTCTCTGACCCTTGAATGATTGCAGAAAGAGATATGTGAAAGGGGAAAGAAATAAAGATATTGGATGAATGGGGGCGACCCTTGGTCTGATCACCCGCACCCGAGACGGCCTAGGCAATTCCGATTTTTTTTGCTGGTTTGCTGGGTGATATCATAGGTGAGAGAGAGAGAGGGAGTGGGAGAGGGCGAGAGACACAGAGAGAGAGAGAGAGAGACAGAGAGAGACAGAGAAACCCGGTCGGTTCGCCTGGACCCCCCTCGTTGGAGCGCGATAAATTTGAAGCGGCGAAACGCCGCGTTTTACGGGCTACCGTAACCCGTGCCGCGCTGGGTGCCCCAAAAATACCCCAGGAATCAGAAAACGCAGAGCCTTGGAGGATGACGAATGCAAGTTTAAGCATAAAGCAGATAAAAACTTTAAGATAGGTTTGACTTAGACTTGGCTTAAGCTTAGACTTGGCTTCGACTTGGCTTAGGCTTGGCTTAGATTTGGCTTAGGCTTGGCTTAGGCTTGGCTTAGGCTTGGCCTAGGCTTGGCTTAGGCTAAGCTTAGGCTTGGCTTAGGATTGGCTTAGGCTTGGCTTAGGCTTGGCTTAGGATTGGCCTAGGTTAGATTAAGCTTAGGCTTAGGCTGAGGCCTAGACTTGAGATTAGGCTTAGCTTAGCGTCGGCTGATGCTTATGCTCACAGATTTAGGCTAAGAAGTTTAGGCGTATGGTTGGGATGGGCTTAGGCTAAGTCTAGGCTCGGGCTTGGCTTAGCCTCATGCTTAGGCCGAGCTTTGACTTATGTTCAGCTTGGCGCGGGCTTGGCGCGGGCTTGGCCGCTGGTTCAGGTCGTGTCCGCTTATTTGCGCAACGGAATTCGCTTATTTTAGGAGCACTGCACTGTTAGCGGGGGGGATCAATTTTTGTCGATGACCGCAATCGCTTAGCAATTTGTTGGGATTTTCTGAAGCCCGATTTGCATGCCGCGCTTTCCAGCCATTTTAAAACCACCCCAAATTGCCAGCCAGCCCGAAGGCCAAGACGCGGAATGTCAGCCAGGACCCTCGAGGCTATTTGCCCGTTCTTTGAGGGCCCCGCCGAAAACTGGGCCCCCGCCCGGGCCCCGGATTCCGGGCAACACCTCTGCACGCCCCTTCCATCCTTCCTGTCCACCGTATCCCCCCCCTGCCTGCCCTTGGCTGGGCTATTTGGCAAATTCGGTGGCGGGCTATAATAGTCGAGTCGAGCGAGCGTCGGCCGGGCCATTTTTCGACTTGTGAATGCATCATGGTCTCGTCATAGCCCTCGTGCTATTTATTCTGAATGTTCTGGTGGGTTTTGGGATGGAAACTTGCAGGGGTTATTTGGGGATATTGACGGCGGCTTTTCTTCGTGGTTAGCGAGAGAGGGAAAGAGCGAGTGAGAGGGAGCGAGAGAGGGTGAGAGAGAGAGAGCGAGAGAGAGAGCGGGAGAGAGAGGGAGAAAGAGAGATAGAGTGAGAAAGATAGAGAAAGAGCGAGAGAAATAGTGAGAGCAGAGAGAGAGAGAGAGAGAAACAAAGGGGAGAGTGTTTTAGAGAGAGAGAGAGAGAGAGAGAGAGAGAGAGCGCATGAGAGGGTGAGATTCGCAGATACAGCGAGAACGAGACGCCTAGCGGAGAGAGAGAGAGGGAGAGAGAGTGAGAGACAAATAGAGCTACAGACAGATAAAAAACTATTTCCAAGCAACCGCAAAAATTTAATCTATTTTTTTCGGAATTTTTGGCAGGATAGAATCATTTTATTATTTATCTAGCAAATCTCAAAAATCCACGCCTTTTATTTTGGGCCGAATAGTTAGGCGCGCGGCCAACAAGTTGATCGGTGCCCTTTTTGCACCGGTTGCCCCCGGAACTTGGTGAAAGACGCAAAAATAGCCGGATAGCCGAGAGACGCAGGCACAAAAATGCGTAAAGAGGTGCCAAACGCTTTCCCCCCGCGCCCCCATCGTCCATCAATTTATCCAGAGGGAAAGGAGAAAGAGAAAAAGAGGGTGGAGGGGGAGGATGAGAAACAGGGGCAGCCCCGGAAAGGGATTGTATTGAGGGGGAAAGGGGGGGATGGTGTTAGTATGGGGATGGAATGACGGGATCGATCCCGCGATCGGTCGTCTGCTTTGCATTGCTCTATTCGGCGCTACATCTGATAATCCACGCCGTGGCCGAGGTGGAGGGTGACCAAGTTGAAGTTGGGCTGCCCGTTACGGTAGGCGGGGCAAAGGATATGATTTAAAACCGGATTTTTTGCGAAAAAAATCATAGGAAGTGCGTGGGTTAGAGGTTATGCTAATTTCTCTCTCCTCACTTTCGCTCAACTGTTCTCTCTCTCACTCGCTCTCTCGCTCTGTCATTCAATATTTTGCGCTAACCAGCTTGAGAACTTTCTCATTCTCTCCCGTTCCCTGACTCTCTCTAGCTCTCTCTCTAGCTCATCCTCCCCGTCTCTCTCGCTCACTCGCTCGCTCACTCTCTCGCTCTCTCTGTCTCTCTCTCTCTCTCGCTCACTGGCTCGCTCTCGCCCTCTCGGTCTCTCGTTGTTAACCTATTTCTCTAGATATCATTCTACGTATAACTCTCTTTTTCTCCTGCTCCTCTCTCTGCCTCGTTCTCTCTCTCTCTTTCTCCCTATATCGCTCTCTATACCACTAAAGGAACTATGAAGCCATAAGCAGCCTTAGAATCGAGCCCACCTCCTTTTTCAGCCACATGAAGCCGACGCCCTAACCCCCGAGGAGCGATGTGAAGCATGCCAAATTGTCCTCCGCACCGTCTACGGCCATTTTGGTAGACAGGTACGCCCCCTTACCCCTACTGTCACCCTCCCTTCAACCCCTTCCAGGTGCCCAGTCGGCGTAAATTGGCCCATCAGCTGCGCCACGAGTGCAATCGGCACTATCAGGTTCGTGGCAAGGTTAAACCGGATCCTAAACCTTGCCCTCCCTACAGTACCGCAAAAAGTGCATCCTGTTCACGCGGCTGAACACGGAGACGATCTTTCGCGAGATGGCCAACGCCGACTTCAAGCCGATCAAGCCGTGTACACTGTTGAAGGTGGGGGAAGTGGAATAGACATTTGAAAGCAGAATAGGAATATCGGAAAGTAGAGAAAGAAATTGGGTTTCGACCCTGAAAGGCCGGTTTTAAACCATTTTTCATTGTGCTTAAACGCAAAAACTCTACAAATTTTTTAAACAAACGATTGTAATACAGATTTTCGATCAAAATCTCGAATTTTTCACATTTTTAGCTTGTTTTTCGCTTTAAATATAGCCAAATTAAAAAAAGACTGTAAAAATACGTGCTGTTACGTTACTAGGGATTCTGGGCCTAGACAAAAAATTCTTTTCGCCCAAACCCCCCCGATAATAAATAAAATAAGATAAAATAAATAACCAGAACGGGATTCCCAATATCCTAGTTTCAGTTTTCATTGTTCCGTTAAAACCCTAAAATTCCAGGAGTGCAAACGTCTCCAATCCCCAATCGTGGAGGGAGCCGAATTCCCGTCGGAGAACGCGACTCTGCAGCCAACATCACCCCCGGCACCCCCCGCCGACACGACCCCGGCGGTGACGCTCGCAAAGTGAAGCCATCTCTATCGATATTGTATGTTTGTTGCTGTTGACTCCCATTGATTGATGTGGGTATCATTATCGGATACAGTACGGGTTGCTACACAAAACACCAAGAAAAAAGACGGCGTCAAGAAGTGTTGTTGGCTCATCTGGACAGCCACCGTAGATGGGCGGGCATGGTTAGCAGATAGCCGTGGTCGTACGTGTAGAGGCGCTTGTCGTACGGGTTGTAGCTGATCATGTTCGCGTTGCCGTAGAGGTTAACCTGGAAAGAGGGGTAGAGAGGGAGAGAGCGACAGAGAGAGAAAAAGAGAGATAGAGAGGGAGAGGGCGAGAGGTAGGAAAAGAGGGAGAGACAGACGAGAGAAAAGACGAGACGATAGAGACAGAGAAACAGAGAGAGAGAGCGAGAGAGAGGGAGAGCGAGAGAGAGACAACAAAGAGAGAGACAGAGAAAGGGATATAGATAGCAACTCCTACCCATTTAATATTCGGCGTAGAGTACTGAAGCCGATAAAAATCGTACGCGGTCGAAATATGGGACGCCTGCTCCCAGGAGCTGTCCACCTAAAGCGCGCCTTCCATCGACCCCGCCACCGTAACCCTACCAAATACAGCACCCCGCAGACAACGAATCCATTGGCGAGCGCCGTGTGGTTGACCAGCGTCAAGTTGTGCGTCTCGTACACCGTCAGATTGTTGATGTCGACCTCATCGTTTTATTTTTGAGAATTTGACCGCTTTTACCTTATCCACCGACAAAAATGGCTCGTGCTCAAAGTGGTACATCACCCACAGGGCATTCTCATCGATTGCCAAGTCGAAATAGGCCAGTGAGGCGTTGAAGAGGTACTAGGGGAACATTGAATTATTCTTTATGCCTACGTTGTCCCCTCTAAAAGCTGCTCCCTCGATCTCCAGCTCGTCGTAGCGTTGCGTGGACAACTCGTACTTGCCTTAATAAGATCGCGTTTTTTCAAATCAACTATAATAATTTTGCTGTGGTGTCTGTCAGTCAGTCAGTCTGTCTGAAGCCAACTATAACTCGAAGGGGAAAGGAGCTAGAGCTTAGGTCTCTTCGGATTCGGATAGAGCGCGGTCAGAAACCCCTTAAATGATCAAAACATTATAAAAAAGTTTTCGTTTAAATTATTAAAATTAACTTTGAAAGTGGCGCCTTAATAAAACGAGTGGGGGCCCTCTCCCCGGGAGGCCACGCCCCCTTTCTCTTCGCCTCTCTTCCCCAAGGCCCTTCCCGCGCCCAGATGCCTTTTTTTGAGTTATTCTTTTTAATTCAGTATTTAAATCATTTTAAGTATCTAAAGCCATCAGGAAGGTATTTAGGTCGTTTTTGAAGGGGGATTTCAGCCATGGGGGGTATCTAAAGCCATCAGGAACGTATATAAGTAGTTTTTGAAGTGGATTTCAGCCATGGGGGGTATCTAAAGCCATCAGGAACGTATCTAAGTAGTTTTTGAAGGGGATTTCAGCCATGGGGGGTATCTGTAGCCATCAGGAACGTATCTAAGTAGTTTTTTAAGGGGATTTCGGCTATGGGGCGTATTTGGAGCCATCAGCACGGATATTGATAAAGTTAGGGAAGGAATGTGGTGGTGTAGAATATGGAAGGTAGCCCGAAGGCCAGCCGATTACAGCCGCGACGCGGCTGTAATCGGCTGGTTTTTTTGATAATTCTGTATTTTTGTGAGGAGATGAGGTAGTTTCGTCTTTCTCTCTCGCGCGCGCGCTCTCTTTCTCTCTCACTCTCTCTCCCTCGCTCACTCTCTCTCAGACACTCTCTCACTCTCTCACTCTCTCTCCCTTTCCCTCTCTCACTCTCTCCCGCTCTCTCACTCTCTCTCAGCCACTTTCACACTTTCTCTTATCCACTCTCTCACTATCTCAGCCACTCTCTCTCGCTCACTCTCTCTCTCCCTCTCTCTCACTCTAGCTCAGCCACTCACTCACTTGTCTTATCCACTCTCTCACTATCTTTCTCTCTCTCTCTCACTCTCTCTCTCTCTCTCTCGCTCTCTCTCTCCCTTCACCCACCAATCTTGGGAGTCCCAGCTCGATGATAGTAGAACGACCCATTAAACATGACATGATTCGTCCCATCGTAGACATGAGGAAGTCGATGGCTAAAAAAATGTTCCTGCCCCTTTAATTGCCTCACATCCGCTTCGGTCTCTCCCTCCTCATCTCGGCCTCGCTGGGGTACTCGACGATCTCGTCGCCTTGGAAGTGGTTGACCAGGAAGCGCTTCATCATGTCCTAGACCACCGAGCAGTTACGCCCCAAACTACCACACCCACATCGCCGGTCCGCGGGTACGCGTCTCGCATCCAATTACCGTAGTAGGTGCTCGAATGGGAGTGGAACACCGATTTGCCGACGGCTTGTAGTTTGCAGTCTAAACGCGTCAGAAATGCCGAAATTCAATGAACGCAAGGCTTTCAAAATGTCGAAACGGAAAAATGTCGACATAATGCAGAAATTTCCAAAAATGCCGAAATTCATATAGTCGAATTTTGAAAATGCCGGAATGCCGACATAACGCCGAAATTTCGAAAATGCCGAAATTCCAAAGTGCCGAGATTTGACGACCTAAATCTTATTTTTGGTCGTCGAAATTCGTAATGTCGAAATTTCATAATATCGAATTTCCTTCGCAAATTTACAATGACGAATTTGGTAGCGTCGAAATTTGGTAATGTCGAAAGTTCAAAATGTCGACATTTTATGTTGTCGAAAACTCTGACTTTAACATCAAAATTCAGATAGACAAAGGATGGAGATGGAAATCCCCAAAATACGGCGCAAAAAAATGTCGAGATATCCAGATTTCGGCATTCTGATTTCAAATTTTAAAAATATTTTAAATCTAAAAACGAAAACCCCAGAGACCACCCCATGCCGACGTTTTTCAAATCCCAAAAACCCTACGTGCCGTTGCTCCATGAATATACGCAATTTCGGTCGGCTCGACGTCCATCATATCGTAGTCGGTGTCGGTGGCATTCATGCAAACCTTCAGACATCCCTCCAATTCCACTGACGTGTTTGATAAAAGCTAAATTAGCGTTAGAATTCGCAAAATTGTGTAGTTTGTGGAGGTTCTACACTCCAAACGGTATTGGGCTGTTAGCAGGGGTAGGTTTATCTGAGGAACCGAATTCCACCCAGTAATCACTGACTTATAGCGAAAATTTAAGCGAAGCGAAATGTAAATCATTTTATATGATTTTACGCCGATTTTAGATAAAAAATCGCACAAAAATTATGACAAATTTCAAAAAATTTTTGATTTTTGGGCAAAAATGTAAGAAATACGGCCAAAAAGGTAAAATATTTTGTAATTTAGCAGTCAACACACTACAAAAAAACAGTATAAAGTTACAGAATACAGGGTGTCCCAAAAAAAATCCCCCCCCCCCTAGCCGGCCGCAGACCTGTCCGATTTTTACGATTTAGGTATCTATCGAAAACTCTCGGAAAGGCGAGTCCAGCACGCCATTTCGATTTTCATAACTTTGAAATTTTTCTATCACTTACTAATCTTTTTGCGCAACGGGCGGATTTTCTGATGTTTTTCTGACCAAGGGTTTTTTACAAAAATCGCAATTTAAGAATTTTTATGCCTGTTCTGGCAACCCAACGACAGCTTTTTGAAAGCCCTGTGTGAAAACGCAGCTTGGATAACAATTAATCCGGTTAAATTGCGTTTTGGACAAAAAAGCCTGTCCTTTTGGCATGAAAAATGCCGAAAATCGAGCCAAAAATTCCGACATTTCGAAAATCGGCAAGATGTGCTGGACTCGCCTTTCCGAGAGCTTTCAATAGATACCTAAATCGTAAAAATCGGACAGGTTTGCGGCCGGCTAGGGGGGATCTTTTTTTTGGGACACCCTGTATGGTTGATAGATAAAAATAGGCTTTCCCCCGATTAAATACACCCCCGCTAACAGTCTAGCGCCCTCCAAACTACACGCCCACCCTCTGCACGGCCAGCGGGAGCAGCCGGGTGAGACCCTTCGGTATTGTGGGCTCCGGTTCGGACGACGGCACCGGGCAGTCCATATTCGTGAACTATATAAGAAAGAGATACTAAAACGCGCCCTTCCCCCTACCGTAGGACATTGCAGTGTGCTCTCCATCAGCAACGATCTATCCAGAGGACAGTCCCTGCATTCGGCGTCTCGACCCGGGTACCCGGGCGGCCCGATTGGGCCCTGGTGACCTGGGATTCCGGACAGTCCGGCTCGCCCGGCCGGCCCTGGCGGCCCGGGCCTCCTAAATCATGCTCAATTCATCGAGATGGCTACCGTACCCCTGCGGTCCTGGAGGTCCGGGAGCGCCGGTACGACCCCTCTCGGTGTTCCCCTCGTCCGTGCAGTACTCGTGCAAATCCAGGCATTTGTCCAGCAGTTCGTTCACCGGAAATGGTCGTGCTGTGCTGATTAGTTCGAAGTATATGATTGGGTTTTAACTTAAGCCAGGAATTATAGGCCGAAGCCCAGGCTTCGGCTTAGGCATATGCATAGGCTTGGCTTAGGCTTGGCTTAGGCTTGGCTTAGGCTTGGCTTAGGCTTGGCTTAGGCTTGGCTTAGGCTTGGCTTAAACTTGGCTTAGGCTTGGCTTGGGAATAGGCTAAGTTTAGGCGTGGGCTCCGATTTTATACTTTAGATATATTTTTACCAACCTTCACCCTCGACAACGATGTCAGCCATAGATGCAGCGGACTGTCGGTCTTATTCGGAGCTATCGCAGCACGTCTCGCTCTGGCCACAGGCGGCTGGATCGAAGTTTCGTGCAGGCTGAAGCCCAAGATCAGTCCAAAACTCTAAGTCTAAAATACCCGGTCTCACACTGCGCCTGCAGGTCGTGGATACGGTAGTGGATGTGGGCAAAAGCCGCCAGGGAAAGGAGGGCGAGCAGAAAATGGCAGATAAGGATGGAGAAGCGGTCATCTCGAAGCGAGACCCCCATTGGAATAGATGAAAATCGATGGTCAGTACGATCCGAGGCTTCTTTCCGGCATCGTTTATTAGTCTGTGAGGTCGGACATGCCAGTGAGGATGAGGATGAAATTTGATCCGCCGATCAAAAGCGCGCTCTCGGGACCGTGGCAGCCATGGTTTCCAATAGAAATGGGGTCGAGGGACCGAGATGTATTCGCCTGTTTCTTTCTGGTGTTTGGCTGTTTATACTCACTTTTTTACAGTACGCTTTTTTATTCGTAGAAAGCTCGTGGGATTTTGGTATTTTCTGTTTTTCTCATGGTTCGTCGACGATCACCTTGGCGACGACCCGGAAGAGGAGGAGAAACATGAATGGAATCGACAGCAAACCACCGGATAGTCGCCGTTCCGTCACCCGGCACGATATCAGCCCGGTGCGCTGGCAATATGGCACGAGGGTGGCTTGCGGACTCTAAATATCTGATTCTGCAAACAAACGGTTCTTTCGTATTATCGGGGGGAGGGGGTTTTCGAAGTTCTATCGAATGGCTTTGAGACAATCCCCAAAAAAATAGCGAAAATATCGAAAACTTTATGACCATTCGGTTGTGGGGGGGGGGTGTGCAAAATAAACTATTACCGAATTTGACACTATTTCAACTAGAAAACGTATCTAAAAAACTTTAAAAAGTTTTAACTCACGATTTTGTTCAAAACCCGGCCATTTTTGTCGCAAAATCGATATTTTTGTGATTTCTTAATCAAAATTTGTAAATGGAACCCATTGAGGAATCGTAAAAACTGTTTACAAAAATTCACATACGTAAAAAGTAAAAAATCGGGCGTTTAATAGAAAAAAAGGTTCCTTCACACTAACGCGAAAGCACCAAATAAACTAACTGATACCCTACCTCGGATATAATTCCATCGTTTAGCACGAGCTGGTTGTTCGCGTAATACCGTGCGGAGCCTGGTCCTTCAACGCAGCCAAATTCGTGTCCTAAACGCTTTGAATTTTCTTACCGAGAGAGATACCAAAAAGAGCCACGAGTTCCCTATTATTTTGATGCTGCTGAGGGTAGGGGCAAAGCTGGGCCCTAGGTAAATCTTCGAATAGAAAACCGAATTATAACCTCAAAGAAAACGGTTGTTTGTGACAGGCAGCTGTGAGGGATAGTAGAGCCGCAAATAACCAAAACATCGACTGAGGCCCACCAGTGCCATCGCCATCCTTGGCAAAGCCAGGATGAGAGTGAGTCGAGAAGAGGATGAGGGAGAGAGCCATCCTCCCGTACTCTATCCCTCCCACTATCTCCCCTCGATTCACATGCAGCGCGCGTTTTCTCCCTTTCCGCACGCGAATCCTTGGCGGAGTTTCGTGCAACCGTGTACCTCAAACCTTGCGGTTAACCTTGTTTGTTGCCTGTACGGACCCTGAGGACGCATAGAAATCTCTTTTATTGCTTCTACAGATACAGATATCTACATCGCGGTTCGGTTCTAATCCACAAGCTACTCCTTACAAACACCAGGCATAGAGAGACATTTGACAGGAATTCGAAACGGGGAACGGGTTTATCACAAATGAGCGCTATAGGAATGTTTTAGGACAGGTGTGGGGGAGGGGTCTCTGTTCGTCTTCTTTTTTTTCTTCGGCACGGGTATGGATCGTTTAAGGCAGGTGGAGATGAGGGGATATTAACAAATTGACAATCATAAATAGAAGCCGGCGGAACATCGCGAGGCGGACGAACGAGCACGGGGTCTAGTCGAAGAATTTGCGGTTCTGGTTGGGCCCGAAGAGAGCGGTGCGAACTTGAGGCACGATCTGAAAACAAAAATAAGTTGTTTTAACGCAGCGCGCCGCCTAGGCTAAGAATCGGGTGCTTTAGCGCTATCGGAGGTGGAGGCTAATTCTTTTCCCAGGAATCACGACGTAGGTAGTAGCATAAAAGAAAGTTGTCTTGAGTCTTTTGGGTAAAATGTAATTTTATGCCCAGTGGAAAAATTAGCAAGAAACAGAAAATATCCCTAGCAACAGAACATTATTTTTAACCGTCTTTCAGCCACATTTAGCAGGAGGATTTCAGGAGGAAAGCTATCTTTTCCTGATTTTAATCAATTACTGTGAAGTTTCTACGTTAGCTAATAGTAAAACCTTTTAGAAACACTTCCTCTATCCCCATTCAAACAATCGGATCCGTCGAAAAACTTTGTAGCCCCCGATAGTGCAAAAGCGCCAAAAAGCGAAAACACAAATGCACCCTCGCGTAGGCGAAAACCACCGCAGTCGCCTGGTTAGCCAATCCAAATAAGCTCACCTGGTTAGCGATGAGGTCCAAGCGGCTTTCTAGGGTCGACGAGACCTTGATCTTGCCTCCCTTTGCGCTCACTTCGACTCCTCCAGCCGACTCCGATGGCAAGTAGTGCTGGCGATCAACGTTGACCTGAACCAAATATATAGAAATCCAAATCCGGACAAGAAAAGGACCGTGCAAGGCTAGGCTCAAATAAAATACCTTTGATCGTTTGCCCCACTGCTTTTCCAAGGCGTCCAGGCATTCGGGAAGAAGCTGATCAACCTGATAGAAGGCTATCAAATAACCGTGCAAAGAAATACCAGGTGCTCATCTTGCTTTCGGCAGCGCAGCGTCAGCTCGTTCTCCAGCATTTGAAGGAGAGCCTAAAAAGAGGCAATAAGATGGAGATACATCCCAAAAAATACCTGCATGACGAGTCCCTTGAGAATCGACGGGTAGCGAGCGGTGTCGCCTGAGATCTTTGAAAGGTTGGCCTTCGCCTCCTCGAGCACGTTGTGAAGATGGTCTTCGCGGGCCTAAAAACATAAAGTAAGCAAGATTGATCAAAAACAAACCTTCAGGCACATCAGACGGCCGGCGTTCAGCGAGTTGGAGCTCTGGATTTTGCGCTGGAGCTCGACCTGCTTCTCCTTCTTCTCGTAGAATTCCATGATCTTTGTTCGTTGCTGCTGAACCAGACGTCCCTGAAAGCAAACGCATAGAAAAAGTTGAAAAGCATTTTGAATACCTTCTCAATGTTAAATTCCTCCTCGGCCTTGGCGTCGATCTCTTCGGCCTTCTCGTTGGCCTCCTGCTCGATGAAGGCCATCATGTGGCGCAGCTGCTTCTGCACATCGTTGTCCGAGATGCCCATGTTTGCCGGTTCCTGAAAATAATTAGTTTTGCCAAGGACGAATAGTTTTAAAAAACCAAAATTTTGAAAGGAGGATCAAGCGAATGCGCCCAGAGAAAATACACCCCGGCCAGAACAGTAAGAGCCTTAGTAAAAAGCCGTAAATTGACGCTTTGACTAGTAAAATTTGCCAGGAAACCAATTCAGCGATGAAAAGCTAGTCAAATTTCAGAGAAATGGATAGAAAAGCCACACGCCCACCAGGCGAAAGAATTGACAAAATGGTCACGGCCGAAAGAAAAACCAATTTCGTCGACAAAGTTAACTGTGTGAAGCACATGGGGAATTTGTGAGTTTTCCGGTGACCAAGCGAAGCCGGGACCCCGGGGGAGGAGATCAACGACCGGCGGATCGCTCAATATTCAGACTTTGGTTCGGCGCCGCTTCCACCCACCGGGCGGCCGTGTGGAGACCGGGGGTTGTCCCTCTCTTCCAGCACCGTAGAGGGGCGAATGTTGTCCGCATGCGAGTGCCTAGAGAAGGGAATAAGCGGTTAGACAACCAATGGGAGGGCAAAAGTCCTTAGTATCGATAAAGTCGCGCTTCTTACTGAAAATTAGTAATCAACAGTTTCAAAAGACAAACACAACGGCCACAAACTAGTTCTGCCGCGGCAGGACCAGTTTTTGGAGCAATTAGCAAATGTCGCAAGGCTTTCTAATTATAAAACTTATTTTAAAATATGAAATGATATCTAGTAAGTACTAATTTAACGTTTCTAGAATACTTTTAGGCAAAAAGAGCAGTATTTTATAACTGTTTGTTTTTAGCAACCACAACTTCCGATAAAAATGAAAGAATCCGGGGCATCTTCATTTTTGCATTCGCGCCCAATGAGATTCCAGCACTAATAGTAACCGCGTCATTGTTCTTACACGGACTAATATAAAAATAAAAACTATACATATTTGTAAACAGAAATACTTCTGAAGTTGCTACCAAAAAGTATAACTCACGTCGATTCACAAGCACCCATCAGCGCTCGCGGCACAATCACAAAATGAGCCCACATGCCGGTCCCAAACCATGTCGAAATGCATGCAAATTATAGCTTATCTTAATTCCCTTCCGTTTACATTTCTTGTTGCAATTTTAAAGTGTAGGATTGTCTTTTTAGGGGATGAAACCTCTCATCATCCTGCTGGTGCTGTTCGGCCTGGTCGCCAGCTCGGGGATCTCCTCATCAGTGATCGACTTGAATGAGAAGTTCCTGGATGTGAAAGACGATGGATTCTGGTTTATTAAGGTTGGTATTATTGTCGCGTTCTGAAAGGATTATTTGTTCCAGTTCTACGCTCCGTGGTGCGCCCACTGCAAGAAGTTGGCGCCCGTCTGGGAACATGTCGGCCATGCCATGACAAATATGGTTGGTTACTGATTGTTTACTATTACCATTTCTTCAGGCACAACCGATCAGGATTGCAAAGGTCGACTGCACGCGCTTCCCCTCGGTTTGCCAGGAGCTCCACATCCACGCATACCCTACCCTCGTCTTGTAAGTCACCTTGCGCTCAAGTTTATCATCTTTTACAGCTTCCGAAATGGTAAGACATTCAACTATGAGGGCGAACGACGGAAGGAATCGATGGTAGACTATGCAATCAAGGCGGCCGCCCCCTTGGTTCAAGACATCAAGGATATGGTGATGCTCAACGAGGTGATTTTCTTGTTTTTTCGCTAAAACGCCGTATTTTCAGATTCGCCAAAAATCACGGGATGATCCCTCATTTGCCTTCATCGACTATGAAACGATTGGAGATGACGAGCAGCTGAAGGTTCTTCGGGATGACTTCGATTTGGCGGCTGAGACTTTGT